ACCGTGAAGATCGGCGCCTAAGATTATTGGCCTTAAGGGACCGTTTCTCCACTACCAGGTCCATTGCAAATGAATGGTTTGCAGAACATGGAAGACCTATAGGCATGCGAAGTGTTTACCGACGAATGAGAAGTTTTGGCTTGTTTTCATACCGGCCACACTGGGTCCTCCCTTTAACTCGAGAACACCGACGTAATCGCCTTGAGTGGTGCAGACAACGGTCACTCTGGGATCAGGAATGGAACAGTATTGTCTTTAGTGACGAGTCTCGATTTTGTTTAGCCATGCACGATAGACGTGCCAGGGTTAGAAGGCGACGTGGTGAAAGGAGGAATCCACAGTTTTTTGTTGAAAGACATGTTCATCACACTGTTGGAGCTATGGTTTGGGGTGCTATAGCTTATGGTTCCAGGTCACCTTTAATCTTCATCAGAGGTAATATGCACGCGCAGTGTTATATCCACGAAGTTCTAGAACCCCATCTTTTACCCCATCTTGACACCCTGGCAGATCCAACTTTCCAACAAGATAATGCCCGACCACATGTTGCAAGAGTCACAATAGACTTCTTTCAACATAATGATGTCAGATTGTTACCATGGCCACCAAGATCTCCTGACTTATCCCCAATTGAGCACGTGTGGGATATGATGGGTAGGAGATTGCTCTATTTGCAACGTTCTCCTCAGACTCTAGAAGCACTTCGAGACGAGTTGGTGGTTGCCTAGAATGAGATACCACAGGAGGACATTGATCACCTGATCAGAAGCATGCTTAGGCGCGTTGGAGAATGCGTAGCACATCAGGGTGCATCCACACATTATTAAAGGTCAAAGGGCTTTAAAGCAGTGCAATCATTTTGAAATTTTTATCATTTACTTATTATGCTTCATTAAGTACTTATACAAAATTTTATTAAAATAAAACCATTTAAACTGGGTGTTTGGATTTATATGTCACTTAGTATATTTAGGAGTTATAATAGACTCAAATTTAACATTCAATAGTCATGCAGATTATATTATAAAAAAAGTTTCTAAAAAAGTAAACTTAATGTGTAGGTTAACAAAGGACCTTAGTTCATGGACCTCACTACTTATATAAAAAACTGTATCCCCCTATAGCTCCACGGTGCCCTATGGGTGTTTAGGCCTTAAACCTAAGACTGGTAGTTGGAGTATACAAAAAAATAAAAAAAAAACAATATTCATGCCTCACTTTAACTATTGTTCCTCCATATTATATATGTTTCAGAAGGGTGATATAGATTCACTACAGAGAAAACAAAATCAGGCTCTGAGATGTATATTAAGATGTAATAGATATACAAGAATTAAAGACATGTTAGAAGTAACTAATTTATTAAGTATCAAACAAAATGTATTTTACAATACAATGATAGTCATCTACAAGATAAAGAATGGAATGTATCCCGAACACATCATGAAAGGTTTAGTTACAATACAAGGAATAGGTTTGATTTTTATGTTTCTGCTGTTGTCTGCTTTTCGGCAAAATAGTTTATTTCATAAAGGCCTTATAGATTTTAATAATTTACCAGCTGAAGTCAAATCTACAAATTTTGTCAAATTCAAAAGACAATTGAGAATTTATGTAGAAAATAGTGTTAGTTTTCGATAAAAACATTATATAGTATATATACAGGGTGTTCCATAATTATTGCGACAAAATGATAGGGGTTGTAGAGGGCATCAAAATGAACAATTTTGCCTTATAAACCCCTGTTCGGAAATATGCCGTTTGGGCTGCAGCAAAAAAAAAGATCAGTTTCTTGAAACAGCTTACCTACAGTAATTGCTCAAAGTGTCCTCTATCTTGCTCAATACACAGCTGTGCACGATTGTTCAATGATCGGCGAACTCTGTGGCATACCCCCAGTATGTCCTGAACATGTGCGGACGCGGCCATGACTCTTCCCAGTAGCTCTTGTTGGTTGGGAACAGGAGTTTCGTACACCAAAGCTTTCAGATGGCCCCAGAGAAAATAATCCAGTGGGGTCAGGTCGGGTGACCGCGCAAGCCAAGGCACAGGGCCACCTCGGCCTATCCACCTATTTGGAAATTTGTCGTCCAAATACTGCCGCACTTGTAAAGAAAAGTGGGCTGGATCGCCATCGTGTTGAAACCACATGTTCTTATGTTCAGTGGCACATTTTCTAATAGTTCCGGTAGCACATGCTGTAAGAATCGACCATAAGCATGCCCATCCAAACGTGGTGGAAGTAAATATGGCCCGATGATATGCTCGTCCACAATGCCGCACGAGATGTTAATTGAAAACTGATGTTTGTCTCTATGGATGGCTATGGCATGAGGGTTTTCTTCATCCCAAATGTGACTATTGCGGCTATTAAAATAACTGGCCTTTGTAAAACAGGACTCGTCAGTGAACAAAACGAGCGACCAAAGTTTGGTTGCCTCAACTCCTGCTGCAGCCACCAACGACAAAAACGTCGACGCGGCAGATAGTCCTCTGGACCCATGGCTTGGACTTTTAAAAGGTGGTACGGGTGTAGTTGCTGGTCATGGAGAACCCGCCAAACAGTAGTTTGAGACGCTCCCACATCATGTGCAATAGCACGCACCGCTGTACGCGGATTGGCCTCTGCATGATGCAGAATCGCTTCCTCAAATTGCGCCTCGTGAAGGGCCGCCCTGCTCCCGCGAGGTGTCTGATGCTGCCACTGACACGCTTGTAAAAATGGCGTGATGCAAATGAGGACATTCTGGAAACCGTTGGGCGTAGATTCGCGAGGCTCCTCTTCCGTTACCACCAGCTTCTCCGTAAATTAAATGCATATCCGCAAGTTCCGCATACGAATAACGCTGCATTTTAACACTATGGTACTGTTACTTACTATCTAGTTTGACGCACCACTCAGATAAATTAAATGAATCGGTGTGGAGAATTTACGATAACAAAAATGAAAACACAGCAGGCTTTTTTTTACAAACCGGCGAGACCATGAAATGTGCTAGACGAACATTTTGCAGCTGGTGAATTTTTTGTTTCTCCTATGAGCTCTTAAGGTAAAATTAGCGGTAGTGCTCAAACGGCATATTTACGAACAGGGGTTTATAAGGCAAAATTGCATATTTTTATGCTCTCTACAACCCCTATCATTTTGTCGCAATAATTATGGAACACCCTGTATATATTTTATTGTTTAGCTTGAAGCTATTAAATAAAGATACTACTATACTACCCTTTAGAACTCCAACAACCAATGTTTAACCCCTACAAAATGTTTTCTAAAAATAATCAGGAGCATGTGAAACGTAAAAAAGAAGTATGAGAGATTTTTAGTGTTTTCATTTTTGGCCTTTTTCTCCGCCTATTTGCATTTGCCGTTGGCATAGCAATTACCTTCTGTAAAAATTTCATCCAAATCCGAGTAGTACTTTCCAAGTTGTAGACGTGCCAAGGATTTGCGTGCACACCGACAGACAGACTGATGGTATCGAGTGATATGGTGTTTCGTGATGTACATTCAAAAAACATAACATCCCAATTTCGAAATTTTACGCGATTAGAATACTTCGTCGCAAGTAGGCGTGGGAAGGTTTTCTCAACACCTCGGTAGTCAATGTAGGATAAGGTGCATGCTAGTAGCCATGAGAAATACACATATAGATTATTGACATCCAGTGATTTTGAACACGACGTTGGTACAATCAAAGATTGTGTTCGCTTTATAAATAAACCAAGCCACACTTTAGAAATTATCAAAGAGCAGAGCATTCTTTGAATGGTTCAATATTCATATTTTTGACTTATTTCATGTAATATTTGAATAACAACAAATCTCTATATCGTTCTTAGCCGATGTTTTCAACCCAAACATCATGACAAAAAGCTCAAACAACTAAAGAACTTTTATCTAGGGCCGTGATTTTTTAACATCATTATCATTTTACCAGATGCCTATCCCAGATGACGAGTCGATTTAACGGAGATTGTACCCGGTCATTAATTTCATAATAATCTTTTATGCAGCAGGTGTTTAGGAGGGCATAGAAAAAAGTTTTGAAGGGACGCAAGCATTCTTGGGACCCGCAACTTGAATTACGTTGTGACGTTGTGTTAGAAAACGATGAAAAGGTCGGGATAAAGTGGAACAGCTGTCAGGGGTGAGTGAGATGTCCCGCGGCGCAGCAAAGTTATAGGCACGGGTGGTATCTAAAGCCACGTTTACACATAAGCATATCTGCTTCTCTTTTTAGCTTCCCACTAAGCCCTCTCGTCATTACCAAATTTCTGGCGTGAGAAAAGTGTACAACAGCTGTCCAGGCTGAGTGGCTTTTTCAGTGACACAGTGAAGTTATAGACACTGCGTCTGCTTACAAGGATATTTGCTCGACGGAGAGGAGGTGCTTCTAATCATCTACTCGAATGACAGCTTTGCACCTAGGTGAAGGCAAATCGGTTAATATTGAACCAATAGTGAGATGAATGATGCTGAGCAAGTTGCAGGAAGACAGAAATAAATCAAGGAAGCAACATACTTTCCTACTTGCGAACATAAGTAATGTATATCCACGACGCTGAAAATAAGATTAAATAACGTTGGTATGAAAACGCAACGCTACCCACCATGGCGAAATGCTGCAGTCTCGACTACAACTTTTGCTCGCAAATATTACTGTTAAATCCGTTTTTAGTGTATGACCATTCACGATACGCCACTGGTGTGATATGTGTCGTGTTTGGGGGTTCTGCTGAAAATTCATAGTTTTGAGTGGTAAAAAGTGACCAAAAAATTTGGAATTTTCGTGCAAATATCAGTAATAAGTGCAGTTAACAATCCTGTGAAGTGAGACCTGCATGCAATCTGCTTAAACGAAGTTACTTGAAATCTTCTTTATTTTATATCGAACCAACTTTTTTGCTGCATTCCTTCGAGCAGTAACAAATACGTTTATTTGTGGTCAGACCAGAGGCGTAACAAGGATGTCTTCAACAGTCGCATAAAGCAAACAATGAATGCCGACAATCCTGAGGCTGGAGCCGACGTTGCCACAATTACCAAAAATTCGCGGAAAATGGTGGGGAACGAAGAGAACGAAGATAGTTGTACAAAATGTAAAGAGGATATAAAGGAAGATTACTACACGTGTGACGTATGTAATGGGAAGATTCACCAGGTTTGTGCACAGCTAAGTAGCTCAGAAGTGAGATGTATGCCTCTACAAAAAAGAACACTGCTATATGCTTGTGTAAACTGCAAAGATGTTTTAAAGAAGATTCCAAATTTAGTTATTTTTATGGAAGATATAAAAAAACAGCTGGCTGATAAATCAACCACTACTCCAGTACCCATACCAATCCAACAATCTCAATATAGTGATGTTTTAAAGAAAAGGTGTGAGGAAGTGATAGTTATCAAACCAAAGGACAAAACACAAGACAGTTCAAAAACGAAAAAAGTAGTTGAAGAGAAGATAAATCCAGCAGAGATAGGTGTAGGAGTATCTAGAGTGAAATATGTAAAAGAAGGAGGTATTGCTATAAGTTGTACAAAAAAAGAAGACATTACCAACATATCTGAGAATATAAAAGAGAAATTGGATAAGGAGTACGAAATAAATATCCCAAAAAAGAAAAATCCTAAGATAAAAGTAATAAGTATTCAGCAGAAATATATTGAGACTCCAGACACACTTATTGAAACTATTATCAAGCAGAATGGTATTTCTACAGCAGAGGATGAAAGAGTGCTCAAAATAATAAGCGCCTATGAACATAAAAGCAAGAAATATGGAATAATAATATTAGAGGTGGACCAGACAATATTTGATGTAATAAATAAAAAAGAAGTGTTATACATAGGCTGGAAAAAATGTAAATATTTTGAACATGTTAATGTCATTCAATGCTATAAATGCTGGAAATTTGGTCACATGGCTCAACAGTGCACTAATGCAAATGTTGTTTGTCCAAAATGCAGTGGAAACCATAAACAAGAAGAGTGTACAAGTGACGTCAATGTATGCGTTAATTGTAAATATGCTTTGGATGTTCTAAAACTACAAGTGCGTTATGACCACACAGCATACAATAGAAATTGTGAAGGTTACAAAAGAATATTTGAACAGCTTCAAATGAGAGTAGCCTATCCCCAATTACATGTGAATAAACAAAGCAAATAGCAATTACGTAATACTATAATGTACCTTAACATTAACAGTTACACAGCACATTCAACGGAGCTCAAGTGGGTGATAAATAAATGGAGACCAATAGTAATTTGCCTTGTAGAAACGCATATAACACCAGAAATTAGTGCAAATGAAATTGACATCGAAGGGTATAAAGGTATCCATACATTCTCTTCAAGCCGTCACACTGGAGGGGCATCGATATATGTAAAAGAAGAATCAAAGTTCAGAAAAACAGTTGATCTGGTAGTAGAAAAAAATATGTGGCTCAGTGGAATTTATATAAATACACATTAGAACATACTCAGCATGTATCACTCGCCAAATTCAAGTCACAGTGTTTTTGTCTCAATTAGAAGATATATTAGTAGAATATGCCATAAAGCCAGAAACTCTTTGATGATAGGTGACTATAAAATAGATCTTTCCGATGATACATATTATTCAAGAAAATTGAGAGATGTTATTGATCGAAATGGACTTTACCAACTAGTGCAACAATCTACAAGAATTACATCACAAAGTGCAACAAAAATAGATCTTATAATTACTAATGACAATCAAATTGTACATAATGTGCACTACACACCAAAAATAGCTGACCATTCCATTATAACAATCAACATCACAGAAGTTTCAACATATGGAAAGAGGATTTCTTTTCGTGATACCAAAAACTTTAATGAATTGCAGTTCCAGCTAGACTTACCTGATTGCAATTGGCCCAAAGATTTATACATCCTAGACGACAAGGCAAATTTCTTGGTGAAAACCCTTACTGAAATAGTTGATTCACATGCTCCTATAGTGGTGAAAGAAATAAATTGTAAATGGGGAAATAAAATGTGGTGGACAGTTGAACTGGACAATATCATAACAAAAAGAGACAGGAGGTACAAAAGAGCAATAATTACACAAGCAGAGGATGACTGGGAATTATACAAAGAGCAATGAAATTCAGCAGTTAAAAAAGTAAGAGAACAAAAGGGATACTTTTACCAAGAAAAAATTGATGAGTCGAGAGGAGACTCTAGAGAAATGTGGAAAACCTTGAAGAGTATAATTGGTTCTAGGAGCAAGTTTAAGGCAATAGATGGTATCACGTTTGATGTCTCGAAATCGCCAATAGTTTCAATCAATTCTATATAGAGCATAAATGAGCTAAGTACAGAATGTGACAGAATGCTTGACAGTATAGTAACACCACCTAAAAAATTCACAGAGTTCAAGATATTACAGATATCAGAACTTAGGAAAATTGTGAATGATCTGAAAAACAAAAAAAGTAGCACTGATGGAATAAACACAAAGATATTGAAGCTCTCATTTGAAGCCATTGGCAATCGTTTCTTGGATGTAATAAACCAAAGCTTACAAACTGGGTCATTTCCAAGTGAATGGAGAATGTCAACTATTATTCCCATAGAAAAAGTTAGTGGAACTATTCAGTGTGAAGAACATAGACCAATTAATATGGTACCAGCATATGAAAAACTTCTAGAAACGGCAGTTAATATCCAGGTTCGAGATTATGTGAATGCAAGCAATATTATTACAAACTGTCAAGCAGGTTTCCAAAGTGGTCACTCATGTGAAAGTGCTCTACAGTTAGTGATATCTAGCTGAAAATCTTCATTAGACAACAAAGAAATGGTGGGCGTGGTTTTCTTGGACTTTCGCAGAGCATTTGAAACTGTTAACAGAGAATTACTAATTAGAAAGTTACAAAGGTGTGGCTTTCAAGGTAAAGTCCTAGGTTGGTTTTCACAATACTTGGAAATGAGATCTCAAAAAACCAAATATTTAGAATCATTATCTGAATCTAAGATCAATGTACATGGTGTTCTACAGGGTACTGTGCTGGGCCCAAAATTGTTTTTGTTGTACATTAATGACATTGCTAATATAATTAAGAAGTGTGAAATTCAACTCTGCAGATAACACTATGCTTTTTGTTAAGGGTGATTCAGTGGATCATATAATAAACTTTTTAAATGAAGATTTAAATAATATATATAAATGGTTAAACAGTAATAGTTTAAGTGTGAATGTAAATAAAACTAAATGTATGATATTAAAATCTAAGCATAATGTAACTAACACATACAATAACAAAGGTATAGTAATTAATGGTAGTAGACTAGATCAAGTTGATGAATGTAAATATTTAGGAATAATTATAGATGAAAGTTTAACGTTTCCAAAACATGCAATTTATATAACCAAAAAGCTATCAAAGAAAGTGAATTTATTATGTAGAATGGGGAAAGACCTGAGTGTCTGGGCTAAATTAATTATATATAAGACGATAATCCTACCACATTTCAGTTACTAAGCAACAATCTTGTATATGTTTAAGAAAAGTGATATTGATATTATTCAAAAAAAACAAAACCAGACATTGAGAAGTATTTTGGGATGGGGAAGATACGGTAGAATTAAAGACATGCTGACATCTACAAATTTATTAAGTGTAAGCCAGGAGATCTTTTATAACACTATGGTGGTAGTATACAAAATAAGGAATAGAATGTACCCAGAGCATATTATTAATAAATTAAAAATGGTCAGCGATATACATAGTTATAATGTTAGATCTAATTCCAACTTTTATGTGTCTCGGGTACAATCTTCCTTTGCCCAAAACAGCTTATTTTATAAGGGCCTTGTAGATTTTAATAGGATTCCAGAAGAAATTAAAACTACAAATTTTTTTAACTTCAAAAGGCATTTAAAAAAATATGTAATAGAAAATTGTAGTTTATAAGTTTATATCCAAATGTTTTCTCTGTTAGCACATTGCTATGAAATAAAGATCATCAACATCATCATCACCTATTTCTACCGTCAACAGACGTCTATCTCTGAACGATTGATGTCATTACGTTCACAAAAGCGTTCCCAGTTTTCTGTCCAATTCATACCTATATTTTTGAACAATGTTTTTTTATTTATTTATTAACGGTTTCCCATGACATACAAAAAAATGTATGTGAAAGATTAGAATAGCTTTATATAAATTATTAAGCTAAAGGACTAAGGATTCGTGGGACACCTGATCTAGTTATGTATATTTAAAACGTAACAAACTCAAATGAAATAGAAACATTTTTCATGTGCTTTTTGATGTGCTTAATACTTCTACTGAAAATATCTATATTGTAGCTTACCGCGGCGTTGCCAGATCTAAGAATTATAGTTACTGGTCCATTCATACCATAATTGGCACAATGAGGTGGAATCGTAAACACTTCTATATTCTAAGTTGGTATTGTATCACTATTAAGATTTATTTGTGCAAGAAACTCTCAATAATCTATGACACCATTAACTATTTCAAACAGAAAACATAAATCAAAAATCTGTTCAATGTACTCGTTACGAAGTATACTGACCGACTTTTAACAGCTGCCTGTTTTAAAAATTTAAATTGCACTGCATCAATACTCCGCATCCACGAGCAGTGTAAAATTCGAAAGGCTTCTACAGAGTTTGGTAGATCCAAACATGTGTCCCAATGTTTTATATGATTTAGAAGTTAGTAATTTCTCTCATGTGTGTCCTAAAAGTTAATTTTCTATCAAAGCTATACCCCTATCTGTATCAGTTCTCATGAGGTAGCGGTTTTCAACTTTATGTTCATACGTGAGGGAATTTGAACTGCGGCTGAAGCTTATCTGATACCATTTATCCAAAATGTTGTTGATCTTATAATTAATAGCACTATTTAGTAATCATTGAATGTGTGACGGCACTGTCATATTTTATAAGCATGATGCTTTTAGAAGCCTGATTTTTGATTCATCATCTCTATTAATATTCTGAGTTTCTGCAAAGTGGAGGCTAGAGATGATAGACCATGAGAAGCTGTGATAGCTGCCAAATATAAGAGGTTACACCAATTTGAGTAAAGAGGAACTCCTCCATATTGTAAATGATCGATACGAGTCTATATCCAGCACAGTTTACTATAAAGAAAAAATAGCTCGTGATGGTGAAAATGTGTGCAACTTATTCTCGGAATTTTTTTCCAGCGTTTTTGTTGAACCTAAACAGTTAGTTCGTCTAAAAGTGAAGGGAAATCATAGCATTTCATACTCATTACCTTTAGAGACAGTCAAAAATCTCATTTGTAATATTGACGAGAACAAAGGTGCAGGACCCGACAACATCCTTCCCATTTTCATTTAAAGATGTTCGGAAAGTATATGTGTACCTTTACAGATTATATTTAACGCAAGTCTAAAAATGAGATATTTTCCTACTAGATGGAAGGTTGCACATATACTTCCGATATTCAAAAATGGAGATAAACAACTGGTAACTAATTATAGACCTATCAGTGGACTGTGCATTTTTGCAAAGTTGCTCGAAAAAGTTGTTTACAACCTAATAATTCCATCAGTAAAAAACATAATAATCAACGAACAGCACGGATTTTTTCCAAACCGTTCCCTAGAATCTAATCTTTTGTGTTACACTGATTATATTTGTGAAGCCCTAGATAGCAAGACTCAAGTCGATTGCAAATACACCGACTTCAGCAAGGCTTTTAATAAAATAAATCATGAATTGCTGGTTGAGAGGCTTGCTGAGACTGGTGTCGACAATGCACTATGTCATTGGATATGGTCTTACATTGCCAATCATAAGTAAATTGTAGCTATCAACGGTTTCAAGTCTCTGCCAGTTACGGTTACGTCTGGCGTCCCACAAGGAAGTCATCTAGGTCCTTTATTATTTATAGTTTTTATCAACAACGTAAAGAAATCCTTTAAATATGCAAATTGTGTATTATACGCCGATGACTTGAAAATATTCCATACAATGAGAGACATTAATAACTGTAAAGAAACCAAAGTGATATAGATACTTTTGTCAATTTTTGTGACAATAATGATTTGTTTCTAAATTCTGATAAATGTACTTTTATTAGACTCTCCCGGAACAAATGTCTCATAGAATACCCGTACCAAATCAAAAATACACCT